GCTCTGGAGAGGCTGAAAACAGGAGGATCACTACAAGTTCAGCCTGCATAGTGAGTCCCTGAACAAATACATAAAAAAAAAAAATAGCAGCATAGCTATCTTAACTATATATAACTAGACACTCCTTTTTCCTTCTTTTTTCCTTTCCCCATCCCAGGTTCTCTTTCCTTTCAGTTTCTTCACATATCCCATGTGTAGTGTACATTTTCATGCTTGCTGCATTCTGTTTGCTAGTATTTAGTAGTTTTGAATCTATGTTCATTAGTCTGTCATTTTCCTTTCTAGTTAGGTATTTCTCTGGGTAATACTTGCCTCCAGGAAGGAATTAAGGACAGTTACTGTTTCAAGAGTTTGCGCAGTACTGCCATTAAATCTCCTCTAAATATCTTGTAGAATTCAACTGCAAATTCATCAGGATGTGGATTTTTCTTTGTTGGTAATTTTTTAATTACATTTTCAGTCTCATTAACTGATCTTAGGTTATTCAGAGGTTTTATATCTTCTTGATTCAGCTTTAGTAATTCATACATATCTAAGAATCTGTCCATTTCTTCTGTGTTTTCCCTCCTATGAAAGTAAAGATTTTCAAAGTAAGTATTGATAATCTTTTGAATTTCCATAAGATCTATAGTGATTGTACCCTTTTATTCCTCAGTGCATAAATTCATTTTTTTCTTTCCTGTTTTTATAAGTTTGGCTAAGAGTATATTAATTTTATTTATTCTTTCCAAGAACCAATTCTTTGATTCATTAATTCTTTGTATTGTTTTCTTAGTCTCCATTGTGTTAATTTCTGCTCTGATATTTTTAATTTCCTCCCTTCTATGGGCTTTACATTGGTCTTACTTTTCTGTGTTGTTATGGCTTGTATCCAGTTGTCTGACTCGTGCAGTTATGGGGCAGACTTCTTAATCACAAAATTAATTCACTTTGTGATTAATTCAGTGTTGGGATTATGGATATTAGTGCTCCTGGGATTATGGGCATGAGTGCTACACCTGGCTTGCAGCAGACAGCCTGAATGCAACATGAGGGAGCAGACTTGCTCACTGTTGCCATCATCCTTTCTTTTGCTAGTGCAACACAGTTTGCTGTTTTCCATGAACTGCTGCCCTCTGCCATGTGCCAGAGACAGCTCAGGACTCCGCCTTAGAGACAGCTCAGTTTGGATTGAAGCCTCAGCAAACTGTGAGCTAAATAAACCTTTCCTTCCTTAATACGGGGCATCAAGTATTTTGTCCCAGCAATGAGAGAAATCTAAGACATTTGTCTAGAAGCTTGAGGTACAATAATAGGTTGCCTTTTAATAGGTTTAATTTTAATTAAAATA